CCCCCCCCCCCCTTAGTTACTGTTGCTATGTCCGACAAGCCACGACACTACACAACACATCATGATCTCACGCAGTGAAAAATACATCGCAGAGCAAAGACGACACTGACAACGTCAGCTTTCAAATTTTGTCATTTTTGTAAGAAATTCAAATGATAAATAGCATTTTGTGGCTCTTTAATATGTCGTAACAGATCACAATAGCGCCTCGTTAACCAATTATGTCTTAATCTTTACTAGTTTTAGCGTGAAATAAACATGAATGAACATCAGAAGGTATCTTGTTTCAACCACGTGGAAATGCATCAAAACACCGTTTTCTAAGTTCAAGTCCACTGACGTTAATCTACTCTCCTGTCTGGTTTTTTTTTTTTGCTTTTTTTTTTTTTTTGTTGGACAAAAATGGCGTCATGATTGGTCAGATCGCCTGTCAATCAACCTCCCTGACACATGTATCAGACAGCTGCTGCCGTAAAGCAATCTTGCCATAATGCCGAATGATAAATAGCATTTTGTGGCTCTTTAATATGTCGTAACAGATCACAATAGCGCCTCGTTAACCAATTATGTCTTAATCTTTACTAGTTTTAGCGTGAAATAAACATGAATGAACATCAGAAGGTATCTTGTTTCAACCACGTGGAAATGCATCAAAACACCGTTTTCTAAGTTCAAGTCCACTGACGTTAATCTACTCTCCTGTCTGTTTTTTTTTGTTTGTTTGTTTTTTTTTTGTTGGACAAAAATGGCGTCATGATTGGTCAGATCGCCTGTCAATCAACCTCCCTGACACATGTATCAGACAGCTGCTGCCGTAAAGCAATCTTGCCATAATGCCATAAAGGCTTTTCACGCCAAACTTACAAACTCCCAGAACAGATTGTGGAAAGAAACAGAAGCCATTCGCCTTATTGGAAGCCAGTGTACCATCAGAATGATTTTGAAACTGACATTTCAAGGGTAAAAAAAAAAAAACTTCCACACAGTTGCTTTAAAGACACAATTTGATTTACATGTTATAAAAACATTTTGTAACTCATGTCTGGCTGATAAGAATCAGCAATATAGGCTAAGTGAGGCCATATTAATTTATTCAACGCCAACTAGCTACAGATATAAGCACTGCTAAACCAACTTATTAAATATGCAGTAAAAAAAAAGCAGTAAATAAAATGCAAAATATGAAATAATAGCAATAGCATTATAAAGTTAAATAAAATAGAAAATAATATTTATGAACCAAAAAAGCAAATCAGGCTGATCTTCCATATTAACACTACTATGCATATGAATCCTTAAAGGGATAGTTCACCCAAAAATGAAAATTCTGTTGTTATTTACCCATTTCTTTCTTCTGTTTAGCATAAACAAAGTGCTAAACTATCCATTTAACACCCAACAGCCTCTCATTTAATATAACTACACAAAAGAAATGTTACTAGCAAAATAAATAACTAAATAAATTTAAGGAATAGCCTACTTACTTGCACTTCCAAGTAGGATTAGCTGTGTTTGAAATGTGGTTGTTCAGTCTGCAGTCTGAAAAGTTCAT